AAGAACGATACTTAAGCGAATCTCAATCATATCACCATTCGTATTACCATACAGCCTGTGGTTTTTTGCAAAGTGCCAAGATATATTAAATAATACCCGGGTACGGGTGCTATGTGAAGAGGAAGCACTATACAGGGGTACCCTGAAGGTATAAGTCGATCGTATAACAAGATCATTAACTTGGGATACTTTTTCAGGGGATACTATATATTCCAGCCTATAAAGCGTCACCATTTTGCTAGATTATATTACAACGTTTCACGACATTTTACCTTTGGTTATATAACGGAGGCAAAATCCGATTTTCACTTTTTAATTCAAAATGTTAACGTTACCGAATGAATGCCTTATTGAAATATTTGATAATTTTCGACCTAACAATAATAATTTTCGAACTCATTATAAAACCCTATTTTCATGCCTTCTTGTAAACCGTCAATGGTGTAGGCTTATTATACCAATCTTATGGAGTGAACCTACAAATTTTTTAGGTGATAAAAGTCTTATAAAAATATATCTTTTTGCAATAAATGCTGAAGTGCAAACTCTATTAAGTCCCTTTAAAATTATTCTTTCAAATTATCCGAAACCATTATTTGAGTACACAAGTTATACTACATCTATTGGTCATTATTTGACCCATGGAGTCAACAATTGGCTTGAAGATGAAGGATATAATGTAGATTATTTCTGGGAAGCTGCAAAGGCTATCAAATGTTCTTTAGTTGCAATGTGTTTGCGAGAAAGTAAAAATCTTAAATATTTAACAGTTGACAACACTATTAATAAAACATTAGTAGATGCACTTTGCAAAAATACCACGCTGTCTTCTTTGAATATTCAATATTATAATCTTGGGTCAGGAGGAAAAGCATTGGTAGATATACTTTGCAAGAACTCCACGCTGACCTCTTTAAGTCTTTATAATAATAATCTTGGATCAGAAGGTGGAAAAGCATTAGCAAATGCACTTTGTGAAAACCACACGTTGACTTATTTGAGTATTAGTGATAATAATCTTGGTTCAGAAGGTGGAAAAGCATTAGCAGCTGCACTTTGCAAAAACACTACGCTGACTTCTTTGAACCTTGATAGTAATAATTTTGAATCGGATGTCGGAAAAGCATTAGCAAATGTACTTTGCGAGAACTCCACGCTGACTTCTTTAGATCTTAGCTATAATAATCTTGGATTCGAAGGAGGCAAAGCATTAGCAGATGCACTTTGCAAAAATACCACGCTGACTTCTTTGAATCTTGGTGGTAATTATATTGGATTCAAAGGAGGAAAACCATTTGCTGATGCACTATGCAATAACATTACGTTGACATCTTTAGATCTTAGATATAATAATCTTGGATTCGAAGGAGGAAAAGCATTAGCTGATGCACTTTACAATAACACAACGTTAACTTCTTTGAACCTTAGTAATAATGGACTTGGATCAGAAGGAGGAAGAGTGCTAGCAGGTGCACTTTGCATTAACATCACGTTGACTTCTTTGAGTCTTGGCTATAATGGTCTTGGATTTGAAGGAGGTAAAGAATTAGCTAATGCACTTTGCGCAAACACATCGTTGTCTTCTTTGGATCTTACCTCTAATAAACTTGAATCAGAAGGAGGGAAAATGTTTGCTGATGCACTTTGCAATGACATCACGCTGAATTCTTTGGATCTCAGTTATAATGATCTTGGATCAGAAGGAGGAAAAGCATTAGCAGATGCACTTTGCAAGAATACCTCACTGACTTCTTTAAACCTTCGTCGGAATAATTTTGATACAGAAGTAGGAAAAGCATTAGCTGATGCGCTTTGTAAGAATACAACGCTAACTTCTTTAGATCTTAGTATTAATTATATTGGATGCGGTGCAAAAATATTAAAGGGCGAAGAACTACTTTTGAATTGTAATATGTCTAAAGGTATAGAAGCATTAGCAAATGCACTTTGCAAGAACACCACGCTGGCTTCTTTGAATCTTTATGAGAATGCAATTGGATTTAATGAAGGAAAAGCTTTAGCAGATTCACTTTGCAAAAACACCACGCTGACTTATTTGGATCTTCAACGTAATCATTTTGGGTCAGATGGTGGGAAAGCATTAGTTGATGCATTTCGCAAGAACATTACACTGACTTCTTTGAAAATTTTATAAATTATATTAATTGTGCTATAAAGTTGATAATATTACATAAATGTAAATGAATTTTAATTATGTATCATAATATTAATGAACGGAGAGCAGTATTTAAATAAATTAGTACAAAACAAATTTATTAATAAACTAGAAATTGACATGGAGGGCTCTACTTCAATTAATTAATAAAAGTTTACTAATCTACATATGCTTCCTTGTTAATAAACTTAACATTAAATTCCAACCGAATCTATAAAATAAAGAAAATGCTAAAAACATAAAGATTTTACTGCGGTAAGTAGTTTTCATACATATCAAATTAATATTTTCATTTTAATCTAGAATAGTAATCAGCAATCCAATAACACGGGTATAATAATAGCACGAAATTACTAGTTATTGATAATTTTATAATACATTATTACCAATTAATTTTTTTTAAAGACAAACTAGATAGCTGCGAGACGTTATCGCGCAAAACCAGGAACGGAAAACCTAAAAAAAATAAAACAGTTAATTATCAACATAACTGTTGGATGATTACTTAACTCATCAAAAGATTACTTTTTTGACAATCAAATCGCATTTATTTACGCTGATTTTATTATCTATATACAATATATCCGTCAAGTAATTATCTAAGTGCACAATACTGAAATGATGAAAAATAACGATTTCGGCGTTTTTTTATTGAAATTAATGTCACTTACATGTACAGCTACGAGTGACATTAACTCTGATAGAAGAAATTTTCTGTCATATAGTCGTTGTACAGTAAATAGCTATGAGCATAAATTGTTCTTCCTGTTATGAAATCGTGACCATATTTATAACTTAATTTTGATCAAATTATAATTGTATTTTATTGTGTTAATTTGTTTATGAATACAGACTATAGATGGGTGACGAATTTATTTTCGCAATGAAGAAATTGACGAAATTAAATTATTTTCATAGTGACGAAATTGACGAAATACTCATTTCGTCAAATTTCGTCAATTTCGTCACCTATCACTAATACAGACTACATTTATAAATCTATTTACAGCTGAAAACCTACTATAACGAACTTCTTTATAATGTACATTAGACATAACAAACTGTAAAAATTTTGGAAAGGGTAAATTTGATATATTCTATGCGATACGATATGTTTTTATCATTTAATCTAGTTCATTCTAATCTGTTTGCAATTATTATGCGATAATAAAGGTTATCTTTACAATATGTTTACCTATTTGTTCTAGACTAATGATTGTTGATTTGTTTCTTAAAACAATTAAGAAAGCCCTTTCCCAAAAAAGCTTAATATTTTTTCAAAAAAAAATAAATAAATAAAGGAATTGATAAGAGCAAGAAAGATAAAGTTTGAATTAGAGTTCCAATCCGGATAAAATCCGTCATCCGTTTATCCGTATCCGATTATCCGGATAATCCAAATCGTTCGGATATCCGGATAGTCCGACGGGTAATCAGATAATTATACGGATATTAATAGGGTAAACGGATAATGGATAGAAACACTAGTTTGAATATTCCAAAAATTTTTCATAAGATTTATCGGTAAATTTTGTATGTCATGATAACATAAGGTTATTTAAAAATAATGAATAAAGAGTAAATCATTTTTATGAATAAAAGTTACATGAGATCAACTTTTAGTTTTCAATGTGCTAGGAAAATCTTATTAGTTGAATATTCAACAGTAACTATAATCGTCCTCTTTGTCATTGGGGTGATAAATATTTGAAAGACCTATCTTGCCAAACGCTTGTATTTTTTCTAATTGCGATAATTCTGTAACCCTTAAAGTGTCTAAATATCACATATCATATTTCAGGGAAACTTAAATAAGCCTTTTACTATATTAATTGATTATCGAAATATACCGAATACATTATCTTAATTCAACAGGATTTTTAACATAAAATTTGACTCAGTTGATTAACAGTATTGTATTGAGTAAAATTATAATCTTAAAATAACGATATGATTTTACTAAAATGATCGCCTTGATTATATTAGCGGCGTGATCAAAATTCAGCAGATCGGCCCGAATTATGTGTCGGAGTGCGCTGGAATTGGCAGGCATTGATTAATTTTGCCCAAGATCAACTCAAAATTTTATTAATGAAACCAGCTTACTCACTAAGTAAAGCTGCCCAGATAATAATATTGCTATAATAAAGTCAGTGGTTGTTATTTCCTAATACGGCCTAAATCCGATGAAATCCGACCGATAATTCGGACGATCTGCTGAATTTTGGTTGCGCCGCTAATCTATCCATAAGGCGATTCTAACAAATCCAAAATCGTTAAAGATCCGTGTCACTTCGATAATATTAAAGTTGAACCGGTTTTACCGAAGTGACACAGACCTTTAACGATTTGGATCCTGTGATTGAATTTTAGCGATTTTGGGTTCGTTATAAATGCGATCATTTTGTTGATCATTCAAAACTGGCTAGGTAATTAAAAGGTACTGTATTCTCTGTTAAAGATTTGATATGGTTTGAATAATAATTCCGTAAATTAGCTTATATGTTTATCCTAAATAGAGATTAGTTTCATTTGCTAATTATAGTATTGTTATCGGTTGGTCTAAAACAGTCTCTCCGAAATTGTTGATTATTCTCTTTTAAACGCCTAATTAAAGAAATATTTTTAAAATTTCCAAATTAAATCCGTAGAATGAAATTTGTTACGATTTTCTCAAATCACTTTATTTCCCTGCGGCGAAACTAAATTCCTTACCTAATTCTCCTAATTTGAAGTTAGGCATTACGGGATAATATTTGATGATATAAATCTTTGAACATCGGGACATTGCAACATTCCACTCTTTTTTTGAGTGTTTAACAAAATGGTAAGCTCTTACTCAAATATCAAATATGTAGACATTTCATTCATTAAATAAATTACTTACAGAGCAATTACTATATAGTCTACAAACAATCATACGTATTCACCTCCTTCGAATGTATTATGCCTTCCGAGCACAAACCAACTCGAAGCTTTGTTGACTATAATCAGGGATAAAGATACTAACCGTGGAGACTTTATTTTTTATGCTGATAGAGTAATTAGGCTCCTTGTTGAAGAAGGTTTGGAGTTAATACTTTATATTTTAAATTTTGTTTTACTATTTCTAGAAGATAATATATTTTTTTGGCAAATAGGGTTAAACCATTTACCGGTAGTCGAAAAGAAAATTATTACACCAACAGGTATATCAATATTGTAATTTTTTTGAGTTCAATGATTCGTGGTTTAAATATAATATAATTTAATTATCAAATTAGGAGCTGAATACAATGGCGTTTCGTTCAAGGGTAAAATATGTGGTGTGTCTATTATGAGAGCTGGAGAATCAATGGAACAAGGATTGCGTGAATGTTGCAGGTTTGTTTAATTTGTATTAATAAGAAATAAAATAATAATTAATGGTTGTAATAATCAATTATTCGGTAAAAAAAAAAAAAAAAAAAAAAAAACACTAACTTTTTGTATGATATGGATGATTAGGAGCGTACGAATTGGAAAGATTTTGATCCAGCGTGATGAAGAAACCGCGCAACCTAAGGTGATGAACGAATTCTTTTTTTTTTTAATTATATATCAAATAATAACATATATATATCAAAAAATAACATTATATTTTTTATATTAGCTTTATTATGCAAAATTGCCTCCAGGTATAGAAGATAGATATGTGTTTTTGTTAGATCCAATGCTTGGTAAGTATCCGTTATTATAATATTTATTTTAAAGAAACATTATTTATTTTGCAATTTTAAATATATAAAGCGACTGGCGGATCAGCAATAAAGGCTATAGAAGTGTTGATATCTCATGGTGTCAAAGAAGACAAGATATTATTTTTGAATTTAGTTGCAGCACCTGAGGGTATTAAAGCCGTTACTTCAAGGTTTTCTAAACTCAAGATTATAACTGCACACATTGATCAAGGATTAGATGAGAAGAAATATATTATACCTGGATTAGGTGATTTTGGTAAGTCAGATTTGAAATAATTTGTAAAACAAATAAATTGTCTAATTATTAATTTATAATTTAACAGGCGATAGATATTTTACATGGCCTTAAATTGAGAATTATTCTAAATCACCTAGAATTGAAAGCTAAATTTATTTTATTCTGACTATTTATATGATATATTTAATTATAATTTATTCTATTTCAAATACTAAATTTCCAGTGTATAAAATAAATAACATTTTTAAATAAAGTTTCTACTTAATTCAAAAATTTGGCAAGTGTACTAAATGATAAGATAATTAATATAAGGCCAATTTTTAATTAAATATTTGGCATTAAGACGATGTTAACAAAATAATTGATTATGGTAAATAATATACTTCTGAAAAGTAAATATGTTAAATACGTACGTATGTACATACTAGTGATGCCGACATAACGTTTTATCGTCGCTATGTTATGTGTTTTGGGGTTTATCACATGATAAAACTGGTTTTAACATATATCGTAGCTAAAACCGCTAAAATAAAAACGATACAAATTTATTGATAATTGTAAACAACTAGATTATATATATTTATATGGATAGTTTTATTATAAACCCGGGTTTTATACTAATAATCTAGACCTAGAGTTTGCAATGAGCCAGGTTGGCTGGGTTTGCCTAAACCTATACCTGGCCTGTTAAATTATGAGCCCAGCCCAGGCCCAGCCCAACTTATTGTGGATGAAAAAACTAAGCCCGGACCAATCTGTTAAATTATAAGCCTAACCCAGGCCCAGCATGAACTTAGTCCAACTTGCAAATTACCAGGTTTGACTTAGCCCATTGCGAACTCTGGCTACGGCCCAATTGATGAGTACTAACTGGATTATCCAAGTGACTCTTATACGGTTACAAGTTCTAAATACAACCATACACTATTAGCTATTTACAGCTATATATTTTCATAATTTCTAGAACATCTGATAAAAATTGACTGAATGATTTTTTAGTCAATCCGGTTTAGTTATTGAGTCGATATGATCAATACACTAAATGCACTAAACATGTTAGACAGTATTCAAATAAAAATTTAATAATATATTTTTTTTTTGGTATTAAGGTGAGGCCTTGCTTATATCTTTATTAGTAATAAAATTTAATAATATTGAATATGTCGACATTTACAATATTAAAATTATTTGCAAAACAAAGTATTATATGTCGTAATTTTTATATATAAGTTTCTGATATGTAATTTTTGCATGTAAATAATGATGGCTATAACATTCAGAGTGCTGTCAAACCTTTCGTGATGCAGGTGCAATAATCATGTGCTAGTGCACTGGTTAACTATATAATTTTATTGTACCTATCACTATTATGCCAAATTTACAAACTTAACTGAATCGTCCGAAGCATCATTCGGTCAATTTTAACAGATGTTTCAAAAATTATGAAATAGCTGCAACTAGATAAGAAAATTTTATAAAGGCCGGGTAGATAAAATACAGTATTTGTAAATTAATAACTTGATATTACTATAGTTTACAAATTGATATAAAATTTTTTCTGCTATTATCACAATTCTGGAACACCTAATAAAAATTATCTAAATGATTTTTCAGTCAATTCTGTTAAGTTATTATATTAGTATAATAGATTCAATAAAATTACTAATTTATATATATACATATACCTACGTACATACGTAACTTTAGGTGAGACCAACTAGATTCTGTTTTACATTACCACACATTCTTCAGAGGAGGGGAAGAGATTTGTGGTTTATATAGTAAAATTTTCATTTGAAAATAAAATTTTCTGAATTGTTCTGTGACTATATAAAAATTTTTTGAAATAGCCTGGAGCTCTATATATATTTATCAAAATTTTTTTACTATGAGAGAGAGGGGACGCTGGGGGTAATATAAAACACAGAATCCAGTTAATCTCACTTTATATTAAATTGTGCTAATTATTGCACCAGCATTACAAAAGTTTTGCTAGCATTACTAGACTTCATTAGCAAGCTCTACAAGAGTTTTAGACAATATTATTCATGAAATTATAATAATTTTCTAACCTTATATGAAAGAATGTTACATATAATACTTGTTCTACAGATTATTTTATCATTATAAATTTTGACTTGCTCAATATTATAAATTTTTGGTAGAATATTTTGTATGCTTAGTTTGTGAGAAAACTTATGGAGAAGGCTAAAATATTGACAAAAAATATTAAAAGCCTCCAGATATAAATAGACTTTTATAATTATTATATTATATGAGTAGTGCTAACATTAAAAAAGTTAAATAGATATAGTCGATTGGTTTAAAGATATGACTCAAGATTCTATTCAAAAAATCTTGATTTTATTAATATCTGTCTCAGAAGTTTTTAATAAATCCATATCTTAAAAAGTGTTAAGAACTTGACTTATTAAAAAAATGTTAATATCTAAGATTTTGCAATTTTTGAATAATAATTTTTATAAATTTTTTAAACTATTTGTCAGTAAAGATGTTTGTTTCTGTATTTGATCTGATATTCATAACAACATAAATTTATATTACTTGATTTAAATTACCTACATATATATACACATCAATTTATAGAACCTATATGCTGAAATCATTATTGTTATCAGAACTTATAATAATAGTAGTAACTTTTAAGGATAGGGTGAATATAGATTATTTTTACTAGTAATCACGTTACTAATTTTTTTACAATAACATACAATTGAAATCATATAATGATTACATATTATTTATATTGTGTAATTTAGACAATTTCAGTTAACTTAGGAAGAATTAATGATATATATGAGTATATTTTTTTAAAATAAAATAAAAGTTCAAAATTGTATTAATATAATTAGAAGGGCGTAATGTATATATTCTAAAATATTTACAAAAATTGACTATATTTTGAAAAACTTTTATATGTAACACATATTAAAATTTTGTATAATATTTTTTTAGTTAATATAATTATATAAGAAATAATCTACAAACCCATTATTTACAAGCCCAGCTCAAACCTAGCCTAATTAGTCACAGGTTTAAAAATTTGGGCCTAGACCTGACCCAAGTCTAAACTAATCCACAAATTGCCAAGTTTGGCTCAGCCTATTGCATACTCGACCTAGACCTCAAAAAGGTTTAGATTAAGACAAATAATCTAATCGTAGACTCTATAATCAACCAATTATATTTAAGTATATAAGATAGAATTATTTTAATATTATTAAAATAAGGGTTTAAAAATTTTGTGCACTTGCACAGTTGTGCATTCTTATAATCAATCAATCAAATCTAATTATATAACCAAATGCATATAATTGGCCAATTAACATCAATTACAATTTTTATAAAAAAATTTTAAGATTTTTTTATTAATAATAATAAAAAAAAAGAATATAGTAAACAAGTAAACAACAAATCATATAATAACTAAAAAAAAAAGACTAAGTATATTACTACAAAATATTAACAACTAAAAACACAAGCAGTTTCAATATTGATGCTTTGACAAAATTAATCTAGATAAAGAGAAACATAAAAAAGAAAAAAAGTACAGTAATGATTTTAAAATGATAAACTCATCAATTTCAATGATGATTCTAATAACTTTAAAAATGACAACTCTAATGACAAACCACAATTAAAAAAAGAGGAAAATTAGTAAAAAAAATTATACAAACAAAAATAAACTTAACTGAATTCAAGATGATTCTAATATCTCTAAGAGCAACAACTTCAATGACAAATCAAGTATAAAAAAAGAATATTTGTAAATATAAAAAAAAAACTAACTAAATACAAATGATAACTTCTCCAACTCTAATAATCTTCAAAAATAATAACTCCAAAAATGAAGTCAAGCCTGAAAGAAAAGAAATGTTAATAAGTACAAGAAACAACAAACACCAAAAAAATTACATAAACAAAAATAAACTTATCTGAATTTAAGATGATTTTAATATTTTCAAAAGCAATGATTCTAACAACAAAATCAAGCCTGAAAAAAGAGGAAAGTTAATAAATAAAAAATAGCAAACAAACAAAATGATAAACTTACCTGAATTGAATACTAACTTCAATAACTCTAATAAAAATGACAACTTCAAAGATGAAGTTAAATTAGGAAAAAAGAAAGTGTTAATCTAAATTAAGAGATGAAAAGATAAAAAAAAATAAAGCAAAGAAACAAAAAATAAAAAATATAAAAAAGCTAAAAAAATAAAAAATGAAAAAAAGAAGCAAAAGAAGAAATAGAAAACTAGAAAAGTAAAAGCAAATATAAATCAAGAAGAAAAATGAATAGAAATAAATAGAAAAGAAAAATGAATAAAAAAGGAAATGAAAAAGAAGAAATAAAAAGAAATAAAAAAAAAAAGTAAAAAAAGGGATAAAAAGAAGCAAAAAAAGGAATAAAAACAAAAAAAAAAGTGAATAAGAAGAGAAGAAACAAAAAGCAAAAAAAAAAAATATAATATTAAACTATAAGCCCACCCACTAATAAAATAAATAACTCACTCACTTCTGAAATTACTAACCCACTATCTTTTGAAATCACAATTTATTAACCCACCCACTATTGAAATTACAAACTATCACTTTAAAGACTTGATCACAATAGCTCCAATAACAAAGAGAAATATTAGTTAAGGACAAAAAACAAACAAATAAAAATAAATATATGAACCACCCACTTTAGATAACATGTTGATGAAGTTTATTTCTAAATAATAAAATGACAGCTCTAAAAACAACAGCTTTAATATAGCTCTGATGATAATGAAATCAAAACTAAAAAATAAAAAAAAATAGCCAAAATCAAAAAAAAATGTAAAACAAAATAAACAATAATTATCTGATACATGATCTTAAATTATATATAATTGTACAGATAATGCTTCTACAAACTGGACCCAAACTAGACTTTAGTCAAGTTTGAGTCTGGTTTGATTTTTGAACCAAACTAAAACTTTTATATTCAAACTTTTTAATCAAGTCTGGGTTTAGTCTGAAGATTGAAAAA